GATGCAGGGTCTCACTCTTTTGCCCAGGCTGGTGTGCAGTGGCATAATCTCAGCTCACTGCAGTCTCTGCCTCCCAGGTTCCAGTGGATCTTCTAGCCTCTGCCTCCCAAGTAGCAGGGACCACAGATGTGTGCCAGCATGCCTGGCTAACTTTTGTATTTTCATTAGAGACTGGGTTTTGCCATGTTGCCCAGGCTGGTTTCTAACTCCTGAGCTCAAATCAATCCACCAGCCTTGGCCTCTTAAAGTGCTGGGATTACAGGTGTGAACCACCATGTTCAGCAGGCTTTCCTTCATCATCTGAAGACGATGTGCTTTTCAATTTTATTTTTTCCAAAGGAAGAGAAAACTGTCTTATTTCATTCTCTTCAAAGGGAAATGATAAAACAGAAAAAACTTGATGATGAGGCCCTCACACTAAGAATATTTAACCAGGACCGTGTAGTTTTGGGGATGAACTGGCCCTTTAAATTTTCTCCACACCCTCCAAATGGCAGTGTTGTAGTCAGAGGGTCCCAGACTGATTGACCTAGGTGAGTGTTCTTGCAACTGTTCCTCCCTTTGAGTTTTTTCCTTACTAAGAACTAGAACCCTCTATGCCCACAGTACACCCCTGTGCTGGCTTTGGATACTTTGTCCATGGAGTTGAGAATTCTGGAGTGGAGGGGCAGACCCTACAACTGCCGAATGAGCCATGTGAAGCTGTTGATCAAAGGTGCAAATTGTTAATTTACTTACTCTCACCAGGCCATGGACTTGGCATTTTTTTTTTAGGCCAGGCTCTGAGTTGGCATTCATAGTCAGTTGACTTTAATGATTTAATTTGTTGTTGACTCTTAGCTGCCAGAAAACATCCTTTAATTCACAACCACGTAAGAGGGTTTTTACAGGTGTATACTTACCTGCTGTGTGTAAAATTGTACATTAAAAAATGACAGCTGAGACTAAGAATTGGTGAAATACTGTTTTTTTTTTAGTTTCAGAGACAGTGTCTCTGTTATCCAGGCTGGTGTGCAGTGGTGCCATCAAAGTTCACTGCAGCTTTGAACTCCTGGGTTCGAGCCATGCGTCCATCTCAGCCTTCTGAGTAGCTGAGACTACAGGTGCACACCACCACGCCCAGCTAATTTCCTTTTTTTTCTTTTGTAGACAGTTTCACTCTTGTCACCCAGGATGGAGTGCAGTGGTGCAATCTTGGCTCATTGTAATCTTTACCTCTCAGGTTCAAGTTATTCTCCTGCCTCAACCTCCTGCATAGCTGGGACTACAGGCATGTGCCACCATGCCCAGCTAATTTCTTGTATTTTGAGTAGAGACAGAGTTTCACCATATTGGCCAGGCTGGTCTCAAACCCCTGACCACAGGTGATCCACCTACCTTGGCCTCCCAGTGTGCTGGAATTACAGGCGTGAGCCACTGCACCTGACCTAATTTATTTAATTTTTGTAGAGATAGGGTCTTGCTATGTTATCCAGGCTGGCTTGTCTTGAATTCCTAAACTCAAGGGATCCTCCTGCCTTGATCTCCCAAAGTGTTGCGATTACAGGAATGAACCACCACCATTACTGGCCTGAAATACTATTCTATCCTGGATGTTGGAAGCTGCTTAGCTGAGGAGTTGAGAGAGAAAATGGGTAACATATGTACTGCAGTATAGCCAACATTTGGTGAAATATATACTTTTTTGGTTGACAAAGATTATTTGACAGGGCAGGATGTAAGAACTGTGATTTTATGCCTGCAACACACTTGCCAATTCACAGCCTTGCCTGACTTCCTTCCCCACCCACCACCATTCTTTGTAAGTACAGCCTGTCCCTCTGTCTCAATAGTAATAATGAAATAATAACCATAATAAGAGATGAAATAATGGCTTCCCGTTGCAGAGTGTGGTTCACCTGCACATTCTCATTTGTGTAAAATCCTCAGGCTAGGTGCTCTTATTTCAACTTTACAGATGGGGACACTGAGGTGCAGGGAGGTTGGAGGTTTGCTAGCTTGTCCTCACTGCTGCTGAGCAGTGGAGCTGTGTCTGACTGCTCTCCCCATGCTGACAGCACCTCTCTGAACTCAGCCACCACCCACGTCCCTCAACTTCTGAATTTTACCCATCCCCTCAACAGATATTTACTGCAGGCTTGCCTCCAGGAAGGCACAGCATGACCCCTCCACCTTTTAGGTGTTAAGAATGTAGTGAGAGGTGAGGGGCCAGTCATTACAGCTGACTTTTCTGTCAAATCCACTTCAGGAAGTGTCCCTTGTCTAAGCTCACGGTTCTGGAAGCATGTGGGCAGGAGAGACTTGCTTTAATTGGGGAAACCTAGGAGCATCTTAGAGCAGGGGAGTTGGCCTGCAAAGGTTAGAGGCCCCATGCACAGGGAGTACCATCATTGCACCGCATAACCATGATGGACCGCATGTAGTGCAGTGGTCCCGTAAGATTAGAATGCTGTATTTTTCCTGCACCTTTTCTGTGTTTTGATGTGTGTTTAGATACACAGATGCTTAGCACTGTGTTATAGTTGCCTGTAATATTCAGTACCGTGCATATTGCCCAATTTTGTAGCCGGGGGCAATAGGCTAGACTGTGGTGGATTGGTGGTCAGAGTGGTGGAAAAAACTATAGGGAAAGGACACAAACTTCCTGAAAAGTTGGAAGGTTCCGCAGAGCCCCTGGGGGGAGAATAGCTGAAGGCAGCTGTTCTATAACCCTGAGACTGAGGGGAAGGAGTAGGTCCAAGGGAATGTAGAGGAACATATCATAAACAGGCTTGTTTACTTATGTTGACCGGGAACTGAACCTTTGATCATTTGTGTGCCTGAAGTTCCATGAAAAGGGAACAATTAATGTTAATTACCTACAGGTTGTGTTTGCTGCAGACTTTTGGCATTATGCCTGCACTGAATAAGAGCTAGCAGCTCCAGCTTCTCCAGGCTGCTCTCTGGCCACTAGAGCCAGGAAGTCACCTAGCTGCTCTTATACTGCATTACTTGTGTCTGAGTACTTATTTCATCCATCGGCCAGGATCTGCGTGACAGACCTGGCACTAGACCACATCCTCCAGATGTGGAGCAGAGCTGTTGTCTAGGTGTGTGTAAGTTCACTTTAGGATGTACTCACCACGATGAAGTCACCTGCTGATTACTTAGTGCCAAGAAAAGGGGGGAATGGTGCCTGGTATGTTCAGTAGAGCTCTGCCAGGTGGGAGAAGGTGAGGCTTGAGTGAAGTATATGTGAGTGTGAGTGTATTTGGGTGAGTCTGAATGTACGTGAGTGTGAGTGTGTATGTGTATTGAAATCCCCCAGCCCAGCAAGGGAGGAGATGGCCAGGAAGCATGTTCAGGACTGGGCCAATGGCTGGGACCTTAGCCTACATTGCACACCCCAAAGAGCCTTTCTGAACAGAGGAGTTGCCATGGCCATGGTGCAGTAGGGAAGTGGGTAAAGGCAGGGCCATATGTGAGAAGACTGGGCCGGGCTCTGCAGAGGCAAGGCATGTGTGGGGCAAGCAGGGGGCTGGGAGCCTCGGGTGGAAGCTGGCCTCCCATCAGGACAGAGATCTGGTTGCTGTCCTAGTCCTTGCCACCCCTGCCCAGGGGTTTACTCTTCTGTGCTGGTACATGTGCCAGCTCACTGGCGTTGGTGCCTAGACCAGACTGTGATGCTCCATGGTGGCAGCAGTCATCTTTCTGCTCACTGTGGGATCTGGAAGTCTCAAGGGGTGCCTGATGTTTAGAGGGGCCAGAAAAAGAACAGCGTGCTGGGAGGCTGATGCTGCCACCTGCAGCAATGAGGAGAAAGGTGGCACAGCACTGACCTGGCCCTGTGCAAAGGATCTTAGCATCCTTGGCAGGGACCCACCACCCATAGCAAGGCCCAAACCAGCAGAAGGCCAGACCCATCCTGACCCAAGTCCCGGGCAGCATGCTCCATTAGGGGATGGCAGGCCAGGCCACAGAAGATGGCAGGAACACTGGCGTCAAAGAGTGGCTGCAGCAAAGAAATGTTGGGAAGGCTCAGGGTACAATTTGGAAAGTTAGGAGACTGCGGGAAGTGGGCCCTCCTGTGAGGTGGTGGGTACTTCTTCCATGCAGGAGACTGCTGAGTCACTGAGCCCCTTTCGGTTCCCTGAGTCTCAGGTGACTGCCCTCCCATGCTCTCCAGTGAGACCACTGATGGGTCTGAGAGAGGAAACAGATGGAACAGGACAGGACTGTTCTTTGAGATGCCCTGGAGAAGTGATCAGGGGACACAGGTCAGCAGCTGGGAGGGCTGCTTGCAAGCAGGGGCTGCTTTTGCTCTTAAGCAGCTTTTTCCAGAAGAAGAGCTGGGATCAGCTCCCCTTTTGCCTGGGCCCTGTTCCAGTTCCACCCCACCTGTTTTCTACGTGGCTTCACATGACCTTCCTGGAACCCTTTCCTATGCGCATGCCCCTTGTTCCCTCCAGGACACAGTTCCCCTGGTGTTACCTCTGGTGAAGCCTCCTCTTTTACTCTTTTTACTCCGTTGCAGGCTGCAGGGTTGCACAGCATTCTTGTGGTGGGGCAGAACTCAAATCTACGTTCTCCTGGCAGTGCTGTTGATCTCCACATGGGACAGCTTCTCTTAGTGAAGCAAGATTGAAGAACAGAACCAATAGGTTTAGGTGGAGCTGGGCAGTCTCTCCTGGAGACCTTTGGGGTCAGCATAGTCATGCATCCTCCCCAGGCCTGAGAATTCTTTCTATGACCACTTGCTAAATATGTTATATTTTACAGGGAGTGTTGACATTCAGGGATGTGGCCATAGCATTCTCTCCAGAAGAGTGGGAATGCCTTGATTTGGCCCAGCAGCATTTGTATAGGGATACGATGTTAGAGAACTACAGAAACCTGGTGTTCCTGGGTGAGAATAACTTCAATGTACAATTCACCTTCCACACAATTTGTTTTCTTCTGTTTTCTAGGGGTTTCTGCTTTGCATGAATGAGTTTCAGAATACTACTTAAGAAAAAAGAAAGGAGAACAACAGTATCTGTTGAGGTACAAGATAAATTTTTCAAGATGTTTTATCTTAATCTTTCCCTTTTTTTGAGCTGATTTGTATACGTCAGTGTAAATTAGTGGTAATACCAGAAATTTAGTAGCATAAAGTATTGTTGCCCACACCTTAAAATCAAATTTCACCACCAATTTGTCATTAAGTATTACTGAGTAGTAGAGCTATCAACCCAAAAATTCAAAATACTTTCTAAATATTCTAAAGTTCCTATTAGGAAACAGTATATTGAGATTAATTTTCTAGAATCTTCTACAATATTCTCTCTTGTATACTGAGCACAGTACTAGATTGGTAATTAGACTTCTAGCAAGAGTCATGTTCTTTTTTTTAATAAAACAGGTCTTGCTGTCACCAAGCCAAACTTGATCACCCATCTGGAGCAAAAAAAGAGCTCTGGAATGTGAAGAGACAGGAAACAGTAGCCAAATACCCAGGTAAGTGGGAGCTAATGAGGTAAATGACACAGACACAAATGAGAGTTCCCTGTGTCAAGGAGGGAGCCAGACTGAAACATGGTTTGAGAGGCTCTCCACCAATGAAATAGCTTCTGAGTAACCTGCATTTCTTTCTCTTGCTTTCACATCAGGGCATCTCATGATGTGTCTGTCTCATTCTCATTAACTTTCTAAGTACTTCCCCTTCACTTATGGTTTTTATTTGTTTGCTTGTTTTTTAGTTTATAGTGATAGTTTTACTCATAACCTAAAAGAATGTGTAATCTAAATGCACTTCCATTGCTTTGGGAGAAATAGTAATATCTGTATTTTGAGAAACTATGTTACACACTTTTAAGGTTGGTTTTGGATAATGTCTAAAATATATGAGAGTTTTGGTGATACTGGGATTTGGTTCAGAAATCCCAGGAACACCACAAAAAGGTGAATGTTTCTGCTTTATAATTTTCTATCCTACAGGGTTTTCAAATGGGATTTTATAAAAATTTATAATCAGTAATTTTACAAAACACTTTTAAGCATCTCCCTAAATATAAGAAAGTGTAAAATTATGTAACTTGAAAATGTTGTACTTTTTATATAAACTAATATTGGTAAATTAAACTATGTCCCCAAAATGCCTCAACTGTAATATAGTTAGCTCAGTGTATCAGCTTCATACATTTTTCGAAGAGACTATGCCATTGAGGAGCTTAAAATGCTGCTAAGCATGTATTAAATTCTCAATTTTAACTTTATTTTTAAATGATTGTAATTTTACAATGTTGTTTTTGGATGAGGCTTACTGGGACTTTGTCATTCATATATATATGTGTGTGTGTGTGTATACATGCAAGTACATATATGTACAAGTGTATATATGTAGGTATTTGTAACATGTGGATCTTTTCACAAATAATATCTGAATACCTACATTTAATGTATACAATGTATTGATTTTACATGTATATATATATAGTGAGATGGTTAATATAATCAAATTAAATTAATGAACAAACTTATCTGTCACCTTACATAGTTACCTTTTGTGTAGTGAGAACAAATAAGATCTGTAAGCAAATTTTCAGCATACATAAACTATAGTGATAAAACTGTATATTAGGTCATAATAACTTGTTTTATAATTAGTAATTCGTACCATTTGAACAACATCTCTCATTTTCCCTGCCTCCAGCCAGGCCCTACCACCCATCTTTATACTCTCTGCTTCTAGGAGTTCAACATTTTTATTTTCTTTATAAAAGTAGATCATACAGTATTTGTCTTTCTGTGTCTGGCATATTTCACTTAGCATAATGTTATCTGGGTCTATACATGTTGTCAAAATGGCAAGGTTTTATTATTTTTTAAGGGATGAACAATATTCTATTTAGTGTATTAGCATGTTTTCTTTACTCAGTATCCATAAACATTTTAGGTTTGTTTTATATCTTGGCAATTGTAAATAATGATTCAAGGAACATGGAGGTACAGATGTTTATTTGAAATACTAAATTTATGGTATATGCAGAAATGAGATAGCTGGATTGTATAGTAGTACTGTTACATTTTTTTATAGAACCCTTATTATGGTGGTTTTCATCATGACACTAAAACATTGCAAGTCACCAGGAATGTACAGCATTTTAAAAAATATATACTTGTTAATACTTGTTATAACTTTTATTTTTGATACTAGCAATTCTAATGTGTGTGAAGTAATATCTCACCATAGTTTTAATTTGCAACTGCCAGATTGGTGATACTGAGCACCTTTCTCTATGCCTGTTGACCAATTGTATGTTTTCATTGAAAATCACCTATATAGTCTTTGGCTTATTTTTCAATCTTGTTATTATTATTATAATTATTATTATAATTTTTCCTTTGATTCATATGAGTTTCTTAAATATTTTGGATACTAACAACTTACCAGATATAGTTTTCTTATTTTATTGTTCTCTTGGTTGTGCAGAAGCTTTTTAGTTTGATGCAGTATTTGTGTTTGCTCATTTGTATTTGCTTTAATTGCACTTTTGCTGTTGTATCCAGAATTTTCCAGACCAATATTAAAGTTTCTTCATGTATTTTCTTTAAAAAAATTTTAGGGTTTTATGTCTTACTTTAGAGTCTTTATTTTATATTTAGTTAATTTTCAAATATAGTATCAGAAAAATGGTCTAATTTTATTTTTTTACATGTGGCTATTTAGTTTTCCCAGAAGGAAGTATGAAAGAGACTATATTTTCTGCATTGCATATTCTCAGTGCCTTACTGTTAAAGATAAGTTGATCTTATATAGACAGATTTGTTTCTGGGCTCTCCATTCTGTTCCATTGATTATGGTATGCATTGGTATGCACAAACCATCCTGTTTTTAATACAATAGTTTCCAAATGTAGTTTGAAATCAAAAAGTATAACGCCCCCTGGTTTGTTCTTATTCCTAAAACTGCTTTGGCCATTCAAAGCAAGTCTCTTGTAGTTTCATATAAATTTCAGGATTGCATATTCTATTAGTTTAAAAAATGTTACTGGAATTTTGACAGGGCATGTATTGAATCTATAGATTACTTTAAATAATTTGACACTTTAACAATATTTATCTTCTTAATCCATAAACATGAAATATTTTTGCATTTATTTGTGCCATCTTCAATTTTTTTATTATTTTAAATATTTCAATATAAAGCTTTTGCACCCTGGTTAAATATATTGCTAAGAAATTTATTATTAATGCTATTTCAATGAGATTATTATTTTTACATTTTTATTTGGCAGTTTTTTGTTAGTATATGGAAATACAAATGATTTGTATGTTAATTTTATATTTCTCTAATTTACCAAGTGTGTTTTTTAGTTGAAAAAGTCTTTTGGTATGCTATTCATGGTTTTCTATGTGTAATATAATGCCATCTAAAAACTGACATTTTTACAGCTTTCCTTTCAATTTGGATGCCTTTTTTTCTCCTTTTTTTTTCATTGAGACAAGGTCTCATTCTGCCACTCAGACTAGAGTGCAGTGGTGTAATCATGGATGGATCACTGAAGCCTTAGCCCTTAGGCTCAAGCAGTTCTCTTATCTTAGCCTCCCAAGTATTGACAGTTATAGGTGTGCATTTTCCATACCTGACTAATCGATCCTGCCCCCTCAGTCTCCCAAAGTGCTGGGATTACAGACATGAGCCACTGAATCTGGCTGGATGTCTTTTCAAAAATTTTCTTGCCTAATTGTTCTGCCTAGGACTACCAGTACTATGTTAAAACAGAAGCATTAAAAATAGACATAATGTACCCCTGTACTGGTTTTTGTGCAGCTGAAGGAGCAAACACCACTTCTAATTTCATAGACTGGTTTCAGCAGGTAAGATCACCTTTTGATTGGCTAATAGCATCTCTTCGGATTTGCAGCAGAGAGGGGTTGTACGTAGGTCACATGACTGTTTTTGCTCTGCTTTGGGGTTTGTCTTTGGTGTGTAGTTACCCACAGCCTGGATAGTTGTTAATCTTGTCTTATTTCTTGGCAGACTGGACTGCTTTCAGGACTTTGATTTGCAGGGCCAGCAGCAGTTGGGTTAACATCTGGTGAACCTAATATGAGCTGTGTGGGTGAGTGTGAGCTTATTGAGCACCTGGCAGTGACCCACAGGTCACTCTGTGGGCTTCTAGGTGGGCAAAACTGGCCACAGAGTGTGGCTAAAAGTGCGGAAACTGAGTTACTGAATTGTTTCAGAGAGCACAGTAAAAACCAAGGTCTGCAGGCCTACCTCTATAATTACAAATAGGCATCTCCCTCCAGATCTCCACATGTGCAGGTACCACTGCTAGACCATGGCTGGAAGGAGCTGGAGTTAATTACAGTCACTGCAGAATTTTAAGTGGCACCAAGATAGGTGAATCATTTATTGTTCTTTAGCGGAGATCAAGGGTTCTCAAGTTTGCCACATGAATGAAGGTCTGCCTTCTCAAAATGACTTCAGTCAGACTTTGGCTTTAGCGAGTTTTAAAAACACTCTACTTGAAAAACAAAATTATTATAAAGGTCTTTTTCAAGAAGGGGTCTCAACATATCACCCAGGCTGATCTCAAACTGTTGGCTTGAAGTGATTCTTCTGCATCAGCCTACCAAGTTTCTAGGATTACAAGTTTGAACCACTGTGTCTGCCAACATAATGTATTCCATGTAGTATTTCTTGTAAGACTTTTCTAGGGGTAATAAACACCCTTAGCTTTTTTAAATTATAGAACATCTTTATTTTTTTCTTTTTCTTGAGATGGAGTCTCGCACTATTGCCCAGGCTGGAGTACAATGGTGCAATCTCGGCTCACTGCAACCTCTGCCTCCTGAGTTTAAGCGATTTTCCTGCCTCAGCATTCTGACTACCTGTGATTATAGGCATGCACCACCACACCTGGCTAATTTTTGTATTTTTGGTAGAGACAGGGTTTCACCATTTTGGTTAGGCTGGTCTCAAACTCCTGACCTTGTGATCTGCCCACCTTGGCCTCCGAAAGTGCTGGGATTACAGGCGCAGGCTGCTTTTTTTGTTTTTTCTTATTTTTAAAGTAAATTTCTCACTGATTAAGTGTCTCTGGTTAATAGTATTTTTTTCATCACTTTGAAATTGGGACGTTCTTAGTGAGTCCCTTTTCTTTTCAGGTAATATCTCTACTACTTTTTGTTTTCTTCTTCATAGACTTTTAAATGAAAATATTGGTCTAGTTGAGAAAATAAAAAAAAGAAAAAGGGGGGAAAAAAGCAAATATTGGTCTACTTGATAGTATCCAGTAAGTTTCATATTCCATGTTCAGGTTTCTCAAATTTTTGTTTTTTTTTTATGCGTCAACATTTATAAATAATATTTCTTTAGTTTTCTGAATTACTTTTTCTGGTTTATTAAGCCTGTTGTTTCTCTAGTAAACTTTTCATCAATTGCATTTTTTCAGTTTCACAATTTCTACTGTTTTTTATAGTTTTTATCTTTTTGTTCACAGATTTTTCATGAATATTTTTTCTTATTTTGTTATCTTTGTTTGTTTTCTTTTTGCTACAGAATATATTTAGTATCATTATTTTGACATCTTTGTCAGATAGTTGTACAGATGTTTTTTTCTTAAGAAGTTCTGGGGATTTATTTTGTTTCTTCAAGTAGGATATGTTTTCTGCCTTTTTTCTTATGTCCTGAGATCCTTTGATGAAGTTTGGAAAGTAATAAATAAGCTGTCTAATCTGATATTAAAAGACTTGCTTAAAGACTAGCTATAGCAATCATCCAGGCTATAAACTTTAGTGTTTCACAAACATATTCTCAGTTGTGTCTTTTTACTTTTATATGTTATTTCTAAGTTAAAGAGATTTTCTTTTCAGATTCTAGACTCTTGCTTCCCTAGTTGACTTTGGCATTGCAGTTTTTCTAGTATTGTGACAAGCATTTGCCTTTCTTCTCAGCATTACTTTATCATTGTGTTGGTTGTGTTGGACAGTCTGTAAGCTAGACCTGGTTACCTTGTGCAGCATAGAAAAATTTCAGGGAAAATTCCAGGAATGTGTGAAGAGGGGAAAGAATAGCCATATGCTCAGTATGAATAATTTATCAGATAACACATATGAAAGCTCCAAAAGTGAAGGAGAAAACCAGAGTTTAAAATATGGATTGGAATGCTGTGTTCCAATGGAATTGATTCTTGAAAAGCCTAGGTTTATTTCTCTTACTTTGATGGAGAACATTTTTCTGATGTATGCTTACTATGCTCTTAAATTCTCTAAGTCTTCTGTTCATTCAATAATTTGTTGATGCATTCACAGTGGAAGGCAAACTTCTTTTATTACACTGTGAGTACTCATATAATCTTACTGCTCTTTCATTGCTTTAAGGTACGTGGGAAAATTTTCACGCGTTTTTAGAGACCACTGTGTTTAGCTATTTTAAAAGATCTACATTAGATATCTGTGAGAGGAGTAGGGAAAACATTAGACTTTGGTTAAGAGATTCCAGAAGTACCAGCAACAAATGTCATGTGTTCTCTGCTTTATATTTCCAGTCAGGTGATCATAGAGAAAATAGACTGAGAACTTTCATCAGAGCACAAAGAATCTAATTGAGTATGAGAAAATCTAAACATCTGTTTGACTTTAAAAGTATTTTTTTCTTAGTAGGAACTAAGCATAGGAGCTTACAGATTTAAATGCTGTATGACAATTCTATGGTTGAATAGTTTATTTTATTTACTCACTTCATAGATTTCTTAAAAACACTAATATCATAGGTTACTTACAACCCTGTCCAGCATATAGTAAACTCCCAATTACCTATTTTTTTGTGACTATACTATAATTTTTATCTTCTTTTCTATGAAGATTAGTAGGACTACGTCCTATATTTTGTTCTTTTTACTTTCTGATTCACTGTATTCCAACTTTGCCTGTAATTTCAGAAATTCCGAGGTAATGTGCTTAAATGTATATGTTATATAAAAAGTGTATTATATAATTAATGGGCACCTCACATTCATTAAAATCTTTTATATGTTTGTTTACTGTGAATATAAAAAGTTATTAGCATTTCACTTTTCTCAAATTTTATTATGTGAATAATTATATACATTTGTTTCTAATTGTTCACTTTGTATGTTAGTGTTTTATACCATATTGTTTAATATTTACGTTGTTCATATTATTTAGAAATGTACTAGTTTGCTTTGCTTTTAAAGCATTATAACCTTTACATTTTGTGTAAAAATAGCAGCAAAATAATGATATAATATGGAAGATAATTCAGTACTATTTAACTGTTTGTTTCTTCCAACTTTCTCATAAAAGTATTTATGGTATATACCCAGTAATGGGATTGCTGGGTCAAATCGAATTTCTATTTCTAGGTTTTTAAGGACTCGCCACACTGTCTTCCACAATGGTTGAACTAATTTACACTCCCACCAGCAGTGTAAAAGTGTTCCTATTTCTCCACATCCTCTCCAGCATCTGTTGTCTCCAGATTTTTTAATGATCATCATTCTAACTGGAGGGAAGCAAAACACGCCATGTGTGTACCAATGCAACTATTTTACATGTTCTGCACATGTACCCCAAAACCTAAAACACAATAAAAAATAAAAAATTTTTAAAAAGTATTTATGAATGATATTAATGCATTTTCTATGAAATGGTATTGCTTTAATTGTACACTAATGATTCAAACTTCATGGGCTTCAATAGCAAAGACATGGAATCGACGTAGGTGCCAATAGTTGTTGATTGGATAAAGAAAATGTGGTATCTATACACATAGATACCACATATCTTTGAAATACTACATAGACATAAAAACAGGACAAAATTATGTTCTTTGTAGCAAAGTTGATGCAGCTGAAGGCCATTATCTTAAGTAAATTAATGCAGAAACAGAAAACCAAATTATGCATATTCTTATAAGTGAGAGCTAAATACTGGGCATACATAAATATAAAGAAGAAAACAATAGCCACTAGGGACCACTAGAGGAGGAAGGAAGAGAAGGAGCCAAGGACCAAAAGGCAAAACCTATTGGGTACTGTGCTCACTACCTGAGTAGTAGTAGTACCCCAAAACTTAGAAGTACATAATACAGCTATGTAGCAAACCTACACATGTAGCCTCTGAATCTAAAGTAAAGTTGAAATAAGAAAAGCCACCAAAATATGTGCTCTTTATGAATGTGCAGTCATGGTTGAAAGCAGTAGCTATCTAGAATAATAATTTTTTAAGTAATACATTATGTTTATTCAATTTTTTGTTAATTTTTTTTGTTAGATTTTGTTCTGCCAGTTTTACATTCCTGTGTCTCATTTTAGAGCAGGATATGTCAAATTAATTGCGTTTTCATTTTTATTTTTGTATTAAATTTTACATGCCAGTATTCAGCTCTGTAAAAATTAAGACAATGCTTGGTCAGAAGTCAGATATGAATCAGCCGTATATCTATTGCCAGTATAATTATTTTTGTGTTTGTTTGCCTGTGTAAATGTTGCCCCATTTTATGACTTATATACTTGCTTTTTTTTTTGGTTGGTTGTCAATAGTTGTTTTGTTTCTAATTGTAAAAAATACATAACAAAATTTATAATCTTGAATTTTTTTATAATTTTGTTATGTTAAATATATTGTTAGCAGCATATCACTAGAACATTTTTATTTGTGTAAAAGAAATATGCAATACACATGAACTCACTACTTATTTTTCCCATTGACTGGCCCTTTACAAATGTCATTCTATTTTCTCTTTTTAAGGGACTAACTACTTTAGATATTTCATGTAAGTATATTCCTACAGTATTTTTGTGTGTGTGACCGGCTTATTAAATTTAACATAATGTCTTCAAAATTTGTCTTTATGGTAGATAATAGAAAATTTCCTGCTTTATAAAAGCTGAGTAATATTTCGTAGTCTTTATATTTCAAATTATATTTTTTCATTTATTTGGTCCAAGAAGTTTAAATTGCTTTTACCTGTTGACTTTCGTGGATAATGCATCAATACATTGTGTACAAGTAACTCACTTGACCATTTATGCAAGAATTTTTAATCTGTGCTTCATTCTATTTCATGCCTTTGCTGTTCTGCCTTTATACCAGTACTAACGTGCTTTTTTATTGTAGCTTTGTTTTGTGTCTGGAAATTATTAAGCATAATGCCTCTGATATTTTTCTTTTCTTTCTATTTTTTTTTTTTTTAAGATTGTCAAGCTTCTCATGGTTCCTCAAAATTTCAATAATTTTGCAGGATTTTTTTTTTCTATTTTCAGAGAAGTAAAATTGGGAATTAAAAAGGGTGATGTTGAATGTGTGGGTCACTTTGGGCAATATGGAAATTTTCACAATATCATGTCTTCCAACCCTTGAACAACAGCATACTCAAGAATGTGTTTTTTTAATTTTCATAGTTTGTAAATTTTTTAGTTTTTGTTCTGTTCCTGATTTCTAGTTTTATTCCATTCAGGTTATAAAAATAGTCTAAAATTTTAACTTTAAATATTTGTTAAGACATGTTTTGTGGTCTCACAGATCTAGAAAATATTTCATGAGCTACTAAAAAGTATGTGTATTCTTCTATCTGAATACATTTGTTAACTGTAATTGCTTTACAGTGCATTCAAGATTTTGTTCCCTTAATATTTTTTCTTGCTTAAATATTGATTATTGAAAGTGGATTATTGAAGTGTCCTACCATTATTATATTGGTGCCTATTTGTTAACCCAGTTCTGTCAATGTTTGCTTTATGTGTTTGGGAAAACTAGTGTCAGATATATTTATAGGTTCTCAATGAATGAACCATTCTATAATTTAATATCCTTTGTCTCTTGTGAATTTTGACATAAATTATATGAAATATGACAGTTTTTGATTAATATAATTGTTGTATCCCATCTCATTTGGTTAACACTTACATGGAATGTTTTTTCTATCCTGCCATTTTCAGTCCATTTTTAAAATTGGATCTGAAGTAAGTCTCTTGGAGACATGGTATAGTTAGATTGTGTGTGTGTTTTTCTTTAATTTTGTTAAAAAATCCTTTTATTCGGCCGGGTGCGGTGGCTCAAGCCTGTAATCCCAGCACTTTGGGAGGCCGAGGCGGGTGGATCACGAGGTCAACAGATCGAGACCATCTTGGTCAACATGGTGAAACCCCATCTCTACTAAAATTACAAAAAATTAGCTGGGCACGGTGGTGCGTGCCTGTAATCCCAGCTGCTTGGGAGGCTGAGGCAGGAGAATTGCCTGAACCCAGGAGGCGGAGATTGCAGTGAGCCGAGATCACGCCATTGCACTCCAGCCTGGGTAACAAGAGCGAAACTCCGTCCCAAAAAAAAAAAATCCTTTTATTCAGTATATGTATTTTTATTAGTAAGCTTAGTACGTGAATATTTAACTTCTTTTCTAAAAAAAACTTACTATTACCATTCTGTTTTTATTTAGCAGTTTTAGATATTTTGTCTCTCGTTCTTTGTTTAATAACTAGTTGATAGTGGCATGCCTTGGCTCCAACTTAACTTTTTGTCTTCATAGGTGTTTTATATGTGGTAAAGATAGGGATTACAAAAAATATCTTAAAGTTACCATTGATTTTAAACAGGCAACACTTACCCTCTGTTGCACACAAAAATTTATACTCATTACATTTGCCTTCAACTTTGTTATCAATGTCACTAATAATATACTGTATTGGATATACATTAACAAAATTTTAAAATTATTTTTATGCTTTTATCTTTCTAATTTTTCTTCTGTTTAACAAATCAAGGACTAGCTGAAACATATCTTTTAAATTTTAGAGTATAATTCAAAGTGATTTTTGAATCTTGGTAATACTACTATACATTTTTATAGTTGTGTATACGTATCTTTACCAGAGAGTTAGGTATTTTTATATGATTTGACGTTCTTTAGTGTATCTTATTTTCAATGGGAGAGACTTCCTTATGCATTTCTTATAGATTAGTTCTGTTGACACACTTATCTACATTTTGATTATCTTGGAGAGTCTATTTTTCTTCATTTTAAAGAATAGTTTTGCTGGACATAGTATTCTTGTTTGGAATTTGAGTTTGTATATTATATTACCCAGCTTTGTTCTTGCCTGAAAATTTTGTTTATACGTCTGCTGGTAATCTTGCAAGAGCACCATATAAATGACACCTTTCTCTTCTCTTCCTGCATTCTATATTCTCTTCGTGGCTTTGACTTTCAATACTATATTATACTGTGTCTTTTTAGAGATCTCTGTATTAGTCTTAGTTGAAATTTGCTGAGTTTCTTATTTTTGTTTTATATATATATATATATATATATATATATATATATATATAAATATTGAAGTGCATGTCAGTCTTATTTTGTACTTCTTCACAAATTTTATTTTTTGTATTTTTTTATAGTTTTATTTTTGTTATTTCATTTTGTTTTCTGTGTTCCCATTTCACTCAATGAACGTCATTGAAATGACAATTTTAAATTTTGAAGGTTTTTTTAATTTTAAAAAACAGATCTAGCTGAGTTTCAGGTAATATTTACATCTTTATTTTCCTTGTATTGGTTTTTGGATACTCACTTTATTCCTTTGATTTAGCCATATAGTTCTGATTTTTTTTTTTTTTTAGTTTTAAAGCACTTCTTTATTTTTTATTAAAAGCACAAGTCCATCTTTATTCCTCTAAACCTCAAAGCCAATTCTTTTATAAATTAAGCTTTCAAATATATGTGGGCCTAGTTCTGAGTGCTCCATCCCATTCCTTTGGTCTTCTCACCTAACCCTGCACCAAAAGATAATGAATAGTTACCAATACATTATAAGAAGACACATCTCAGACATACTTTTTCTTCCGTAGGTTTTTTTATGGAAATCAATCTTATCCACCTTTCTTGTCAGTGTCTCTGGCTACCAAAGAACATCTATCCTGATTTTTCTTTTTTCTTTTTTTTATTGCATTTTAGGTTTTGGGGTACATGTGCGGAACATGCAAGACCGTTTCATGGGTACACACATGGCAGTGTGCAGTGTGTTTTGCTGCCTTCCTCCCCTTCACCCACATTTGGCATTTCTCCCCAGGCTATCCTTCCCCAGCCCCCCGCCGCTTTCCCTCCCCTCTTTCCCCCAATAGACCCGAGTGTTTGGTACTCCCATCCCTGTGTCCATGTGTTCTCATTTTTCATCACCCTCATATGAGTGAGAATATGCGGTATTTCATTTTCTGTTCTTGTGTCAGTTTACTAAGAATGATGTTCTCCAGATTCATCCATGTCCCTACAAATGACACGAACTCATCATTTTTGATTGCTGCATAATATTCCATGGTGTATATGTGCCACATTTTCCCAGTCCAGTCGCATTTGGGTTGGTTCCAGGTCTTTGCTATTGTAAACAGTGCTGCAATGAACATTCGTGTACATGCGTCCGTATAGTAGAACGATTTATAGTCCTTTGGATATATACCCAGTAATGGGATTACTGGGTCAAATGGAATTTCTATTTCTAAGGCCTTGAGGAATCGCCACCTGTCTTCCACAATGGCTGAACTAGTTTACACTCCCACCAACAGTGTTCCTATTTCTCCACATCCTCTCCAGCATCTGTTGTCTCCAGATTTTTAATGATCGCCATTCTAACTGGCGTGAGATGGTATCTCAATATGGTTTTGATTTGCATCTCTCTAATGACCAGTGATGATGAGCATTTTTTCATGTTTGTTGGCCTCATGTATGTCTTCTTTTGTAAAGTGTCTATTCATATCCTTTGCCCATTTTTGAATGGGCTTGTTTTTTTCCTATAAATCTGTTTGAGTTCTTTGTAAATTCTGGATATCAGCCCTTTGTCAGATAGGTAAACTGCAAAAATTTTTTCCCATTTTGTTGGTTGCCGATTCACTCTAATGACTGTTTCTTTTGCCATGCAGAAGCTGTGAAGTTTGATTAGGTCCCATTTATCTATTTTGGCTTTTGTTGCCAATGCTTTTGGTGTTTTGTTCATGAAGTCCTTGCCTACTCCTATGTCCTGA